AAATCAAAGAAAACATATTCATTGCCGCGCATCTTGAAAAAGATAGAATTGATTGGCATTTTATTCCCCCGGCAGGACCTCACTTCGGAGGTATTTGGGAATCTGGAGTTAAGTCCATGAAGCACCATTTGAAACGGGTAATAGGGAAAATAGTCTGACATACGAAGAGATGTCAACACTTTTATGTCAAATAGAAGCATGCCTGAATTCAAGACCGTTGTATACTTTTGAGAATGAAATGGATCAACATGAAGTATTAACTCCAGGTCATTTCTTGATTGGTAGACCACCGTTAGAGATTGTTGAACCAATTGGAAACAAGAAAATTGGTAATTTAGATAGGTGGAAATTAATCCAAAAAATTAGAAGAGACTTCTGGGTTAAATGGAAAGAGGAGTATTTGCATACTTTACAACAGAGAAACAAATGGAAGAGGGAAAGTCCAAATATAGAGAACGGACAAATTGTTTTGTTGAAGGATGAGAACAGTCATCCAGCCAGGTGGCCAATGGGAAAGGTAGAAAAAGTCCATAAAGGTAAAGACGAAAAGGTTAGAGTGGTAGAAGTGAAATTACAAGATGGATTTATCACTAGACCGATAAGCAAGGTTTGTCCCTTAGACGGAATAAAGTCTGTCGATAAAATGGAATCTGATCCCGAAGAAACAAAACCGAAATGACAAACAAGAGGTACATCAAAGGTCTCAAAACTTGGTGTTGTAATGGCCATGTTATTATTTATATTCTGCCAATTTGCTAATGCATCAGCTAGGGTCGATCAGTCAAGGTATGCAATAGAGAAGATAAATAAGACTTCGGCAATATATTTAGACCCAATGGGGGATGTTGAAATTGTAGCCTCTTGGAATTTAATAATATTTTATAATATGGACGTTTACTTCGAAATGCTTAAAAAAGGTAAAGAATTAATACCAAAAATGAGGGTAATTTGCGAACGACTTCATAGTTTTGAGGATCAATGCCTGTTAGTTCTGAGTAACACGGAAAGGCAGATCTCAGACATAGAAGAAAATAATAAACTTTTTATGGCTCAGGGAAAATCAAGAAATAAACGTGCTCCATTTGGTTTTATGGGATCGCTTTATCACATTCTATTTGGAATAATGGATGAAGACGACAGGATACAAATGGAGGATAATATGAAAAACTTATTAAGCAATCAGCATAGCCTTAACGAGTTAAGTAGGAAACAAACTTCCTTAGTCGATTCTACGACTAACATTTTAAAGAAAACGACGGATAAAGTTAACTCAAATTTTAAAGGTATGAACGAAAGAATTAAGAATATGACGGCGGTATTGCAAGAATCATATTATGTGTACAAAGAGTCTATCAACTTTTTTATAATAACCAAACAGCTAAGTAACATTATAGATGAATCCGAGAAAATTCAATATAGTATCATAGACAGTTTGTCTGAAAATTTAGTCTTGCCAGGGAAAAGAACAGGAACAGAATTAAAGGAGATTTATACATTATTGACAGCTAGAGGTTTATTTGTGGATAAAAAATTAATAATTAATGCCAAAATACCATTGTTTGGTAGACAAGCTTCAGTACTTTATGAAATTAACCCAGTTCCGGTAAAACTGGACGACCGCATGATTACAGTGCTCGTAGATTCTCAGTACTTAATTTATAATTTTGAGATCGATGCATATCATCTTATGGCAGAATCTACTATTAATAAATGTCAAAGGTGGCAGTCGAATAAAAGAGTTTGCGAGGGAAGTTGGCCTTGGAGTAGTGCTAACGACAATAGTTGTGAGATTAAACCTCTCAAACCAAATAAGGCATCGAGCTGCAGGTATAAATCGATTGATGAGAGTAAGTCATATTGGGTTGAGTTGGAAAAGAAAAGTAGTTGGCTTTTTAAAGTTCAAAACAATTCTAAGGCTAGAATTCAGTGTACCAATTCAAAAATAGAGATAATAGATTTACCTGAACAAGGAATAATGACTCTGAGGTCAGATTGTACTGCTCGAACTGATGATAAAATATTAGTTGCTCAACACAGTATTCAGTTAGAAGATCAGGGAACATTAGCGTTGTCTTACATTGGGGAAGTTAACGAGATACCCAAGATTATTTGGAACCCGCTCGACATGCCATTAATCAATCATACGGACGAAATCAATCGTTTGTCAAAGGAAATTCAATACTTAAAAACTCACAAGCTAGAATTGAGGGAATTAGACTTTCACCATTTAACTGGACATGCATCCCTAATTTTAGCAATTGTAATAATAATTATATTAATTGTATATTTTATAAGAAAAATAAAAATACGAAGGCAGTTACAAGCCATAGCATTACCCAGCGGTATGCTTAGTATATAAATTTGTAGATACAATAAATCAATGATATAAAAATGTTTTATGTTAAAAAAAAAAAAAAATAAATTCACTATAATGTTAAAACACAATAATTACAAGCCGTGAAGGGGTGTCAAATTAATTATGCAAAATAAAATATATCGAATTAATACAGTCCACTAATTTTGTATTGCAATATTTTTGAGAATAAATAAAATAAATTGTAATTAACACAGACACCTAACCTTGCCGGCCCTTGCCAGAATGTTCAGACGAACACTAATAAAAATAAAATATAATACTTTATGAGCTCTGTGCATGTCATGTGACAGTTGTAAATCGATCCAGAGCCATAAACTATGATCTGTAATTGTAGACCCTACAGGGGAGCGGTGCTAGCACTTGTAATCTGTAAGTGCAGGCCACTTGATCCAAACTGAAGATAATCACTTGAGATGCTTCTCACACTGCGCCAAAGGTTCCTGTGCGGGGGTCAAATGATAACTCTCCCGCGCAGGCAGACGCGGCCTCTGCGTAGGCCACAGATAAGACCAGAATAAGAATTTCATGTTAGTTTCCTAAGCAGGGACTTAGAAAATAAAATTCAGTTTTAATACAGAACTCAACGGAAAAGGTTGTTTTATTAATTCATCCCTTTCAACAAGTGAGGGGGTTCATATGCTGTGTCTGCACTTTAGCGTAGGTCAGCGTTTTCGGAATAATACGAATAAAAATACGAATAATAACAACAACGCCAAAGCTGGCACTAGTCCAGCGACCGAAAACAAAAAAGGCAAAGAAAGATCGAAAGAACTGACAGAGCTGGCAGTTGATATGTGTGTTTGTTTTCGGATGGCGGCTCTCTCTTTTATATGATATTCCATCATATAGCCGATATCTAAAGGGAAATGCAGAATGCTAAGTCCCATGAAAAAATTTGCAAATTTGGGAGAAAAAAAAGGAGCGCAGAAGTGTCGCGCTATTTTCTTCAAGTAATAGGTTAAAAACAATATACTTAATATATCACTATTTCCGACCTTGATTTTAAATCTTATATTGGCGCCCACTACAACAAGTGTGGGAGTTAAAGCACAAGTTGGGTCCACTACAAAATAATTTAGGCACCCAAAGCGACTTACTTTTTTCTTTTGAATATTTATTTGGCATGTATAATAAATATATAAAATAAATAATATAAATAAGACCATGCTACCCTGACGAATTTGCTCCCTGAACCGGCACCAATTCTCGCGCCGCACAAGCGTTGGCAGGTACTTCAAGACCCACCTCTTCCAGAAACGGTCCCTCAGTAGCCGTACAATCCTCCATTGCTTCCGTGTAGCGGACTACTTGGGCAGCTCCACGTCATCGACAGGAGTGTCCGGCAAGTTGGTCTGAGTAGAGCATTCGGCGTCAGAAGCTCTTCTTCGTCTTCATCCACCGGCAAGTTGGTGTCCGAACGCGAATTGAATATCCAGTACGTAATCCGGGGGCGACACCTCCTTCAGTGTGTAGCGCAAGGCAAGTTGGTGTGCGAACGCGAATTGACTATGTTCTCCGCCTCGATCAGAAAACTCTCCAGTACGGGATCCCGCGGCGCCACCTCCTTCAGTGTGTAGCGCAGGACCCTCTTCCTGTTCGCAAATATGCAGAAAAGCTTGTGTACTCATCGGTTCTCCTTGTGTCGAACCACAGTTACCTTCCCAGCCAAAAATAATTCAGTCCAGTGTCTTAAGCGGTCATCTATTGGCCTCCAAGCGATCCTCTGCGCTCGTTGTAAATTACACACGTTACATACTGGCATCACCTTCCGTAGGACTCGTCTCAACTTCGTTACCCAAAATTTCATCCGGATCTCAGTAATTGTCGCATCCACATTTTAATGCTTCATCTTGGCGTGAAAATGGTACACAATCATCTCCGTAAGACTGAGTCGCTGTGTCGATGTGACAGGATAATAGCACTGTATGGCATACACAGTGCGACATCAACTCTGCCTTAGGCTCGCAGAATGCCACGGTCATCTATGACCGCTTCCATTGGCGACTGCCTTGCAATCCTCTTTCGACCGCATCTCATCGGGAAATGCCTCTTGTTGCACCTGTCTGACCAACAGGTTCCCCGCCGCATCACACTCTGCTGCGGTAAGTCCTCAAGCTCGCTTCTTTGTCTACGATACCTGCGCGTAAACCTTAAGATCCACACCGTAGTCCTGAGTAGCCGATTGTAGCTCGAGAATATCTGAATTGAAATACAAAAGTCATTTGCGGCGACCAACGCAAACTCATTTGAGACTTCCTCGACGTCGTTTATATCCAGATCTCGTTCAACTCCGGATTCAGGCTGTGGCCAGCTGCCCTCTGGCTACCTCAAAACGCATAATACTGAAAACTAAACCTTCGGCAAAAAATGATGAGTTTACCTTTAATAAAATAATGGTATGTGTGTATTCAATCTTTACGTCATTGTTTTATCTATATCTTAAATTTTAGAGCGACGCTAACCGATTGTTCCAGACACAATCAAATGATGGATTGTGCAGTAGGGTGTTTCGCTTAAAATCGAAATATACTAATATTAGGAATGCCGTTCATTAATAAATATTAAGATAATGATTTATATTTTAATTATATTTACGATAGCCGGCATATCATCTATTGTGCTTTGAATGTTCTTCTTGCTACCTTAAACATTAGTGGAAGTAAGAACGCCATATTATGGAAATTTTTTTTAAATATGGTAGTAATCAAATCCTACAGTGACTAGATCGTATTGATCAAATGCCATTTTAAACTCAAAGCAAAAAATCAAGATGGGATTGATTGATGAATAGTTATTCAAGCACCATCCACAGATGCAGTTAATATAGGTTTATATAAATTTGTTATCTATTTGGTGATTTAATATCGTGATTCAACAGATATTTGGCAATTCTGCATTAACAAATACAAATGTGCAACTAAAATTATAAAATTTATTGCTATTAGGACCATTAACCATTTTGCGATAAATAATTTTACAAGGACAAATGATTTTGTAATTCACGTTATTCTGTAAGGATATGATGGATAATGTCTGGCTGGAATCGGGTATTACATACATATCTTTTTTATGGAAAACTATCGCGCTCGATTTAAGTAAATGATTTCATGCATATGCAGTTCACTGAGATCGACTAGTGCATATTATTTAAACTTTATCTTGATGATTTCTTGACAATGGAACCGTACAATAAGAATGATAATTTTGTGCGTAAGCAATGGTTTAATGAAGGTGAATCCTTTTTCCACACTTGTGGATTGATTGTGGCTGTGACGGATATCGGCAAACGCTTCTTAATAACATGGAACACGTATAATTTACTACATTTTCTCTTTAAGAAACCTAAAGGTATTTTAACAGTTAGAATTCCACTACCCATAAGGGAAGGAAACTATCTCAGGAGCGTGCATGCTTTAAAGTACTCCACGATTTTTCTTATGTCAGATGGGAAGGTCTACTGCATTGATTCTTTTAAGAAATTGCATTTAATAAAGTGGCTCTGTGGAGTTCTTTGTTTATGTATCGTGGACCAAGGATTCAGCGTAATACGAATGAAGAACAAACGCATACTGTTGCAGATGTTTCTTGGTTTTCCTAGCATAGAAAAGAATAAGTGCACGCTGCAACAAACGTTCAATATTGCTTTCGACGAGAAAATAATATTTCACAGTAACTGGAAGCATGATGAGTACACGCTGACGACATTAAAGGTATCCGAAAAAGAAGAATTGTTCGTGCGTAAGATGATTGGGACAAAAGCTGTGAAAATGGATTACGTCCATATATTTAGTTTTAATGGATATGTGTTTGCTTTAACATCTAATCATGAAGGCATATCAAATAGTACATATAAAGACCATCACATCGAGCTTCTAAGCGTGTATGCAGCACAAGTAAGGTCCATCCGAATAATTCCAATTAAGAACCTTTGGTTGATATTTCTTAACACTGGAAGTATTGATATTTGGTATCAGTCTAGCGTCCTCAAAATAAAACAGCGTCAAATTCATAATACGGGTTCTAAATGGCTTGACTACGATGCGACGAGTATCAATGGCGACTTCTATTTCACTGACGGCGACAGCCTTCAGCGCCTTAGTTTCCAGTACAACGTCCACCTTGACGAGTGCATTGTACGCACTGTAATCAAGTCTGTTGCTGGCATTCATGGGTGCACTTGGGTAGATCACACAAGAGAATTGGTTTGCCTTGGTGACAACAACATTTTCTATCGTATAAAATTCGACATATCCGAAGAGAAAGCCAAATTCCGTAATTTGTCAAGGAGTTTAACGGATGATTTTTCACCTACAGCTATTATGCGACTGCAGAACAAAGTAAAAGCCTTTCGAATGTATGCAAGACAGTCAACTTTGCTCCACCAAAAGTTATATATGGAGCGTGAGACGCAGCAGCTCATTTCTGTGATAAAAAATTTCCAAAAATTCAGCGCGGCCATTAAAATAAATGTAGAGTTTCATAGATACGTGCCCAGCAGTGAAAGGAATGTTGTGCTTCTGCAGCCAGCGCTGGATTTGGGACTGCACACAAATTGTATATATGCCGTGATAGATCTTATACTTTTCGATAACCAGCCCCTTTTGGAAAGTACCCACTGGAATCTTTTAATATTTTATAGTAAGCATGTCTACGTCTACCTTTTGCCCACAGAAATAATTGTAAAGAATAAATTTCAAATGGTGTTCGTATTAAAAACATCGAAAAACGGACCTATGCCCTATATTAAAATTCAGTTAGTTGGTTTGATTAAATTTAATAGCAAAATATATACTGTGTTGTTTCCCATTTCAGTAGAAAGTAGTTCCTTTACTTATCGATATCTTTTTAACGGGGATCCAGCGGATGGATTCGTACGTGACGATAATGTAAACAAAAAAAATTATCCATTAATTAGACAGGCAATAAGACTAGATGGGTTATTTTTTTCCCGAATAGAAAACTTATTTAACACTAATATAAAAGTTGAAGATAACTCTCTAAAGCTGTATCATATAAATGAAAAGCTACAATTACTAAGCCATAAAAACATAAACGAAACTCATTTAAGTGGAATACTTGAAAGTACCGATGCCTTAGCGATATACTACTTCAAGCAACATATTCTTCTGAATTCGGAAATACTGAAAACTAAACCTTCGCCAAAAAATGATGAGTTTACCTTTAATAAAATAATGGTATGTGTGTATTCAATCTTTACGTCACTGTTTTATCTATATCTTAAATTTTAGAGCGACGCTAACCGATTGTTCCAGACACAATCAAATGATGGATTGTGCAGCAGGGTGTTTCGCTTAAAATCGAAATATACTAATATTAGGAATGCCGTTCATTAATAAATATTAAGATAATGATTTATATTTTAATTATATTTACGATTTTAAAATTTTAAACAGCAATCTGATTATTCATGCAACATAGCCAGAACGTTACCAATACTTCGTTATAATTATTAAATAAATGGGTCACATTAAAAAAGAACGTACTAAAAGTAATATTTACGTGAACTAATTTAATAATTATATTTACGATTTTAAAATTTTAAACAGCAATCTGATTATTTACGCAACATAGCCAGAACGTTACCAATACTTCGCTATAGTTATTAAATAAAACGGTCACATTAAAATAGAACGTACTAAAAGTAATATTTACGTGAACTAATTTAATAACTAACTAATATTTTATTATATTAGTTTTTATTAAATACTTCATTTCACCATTGCAATACATTTTTTATCTAAATGTTATCGGGTCTTAATTGTAATTACATTTTACAGTGGGGAAAACGATAATAATATAATATAATTTTATAATGTACCATAAAGAAGTGTAATTTATTGATACAATAAAAACATCAAGTCCACGTAAATACATATGTAAATTATACAAACAAAACATTGATGGATTTTTTCTCAGGTCACAAAATATTCTGATTTCAAATTTATTATGCGTTTTATTCGCGTCAACTTTCCCCCATCTAATAATAGTGCACCTATGGCATGGTGACATCTGAAGCAATTTATGGCAAGGTACACTTTTAGTTATGGTCAGCCTGAACTGCTTATGATGGAGAAACTATTATTTGTTTATACGATCGTTTAGAAAGATCGTACCGTTAGGCTCTAAAGTGGGCTAATTTGCAGCGCTTTAACTTCTTAGATTTTGCGGGTGAAGTGGAGAAACGCTTTTAGCCAATTGGGCGTTGAGGATGTTCAAGAAACGCTGGCCATCTTTAATGCTCCTTCCCCTGAAGCAGTATCGATCAAAAATGTGATTCCAAAATAAGTTTGTCCAGTAAAGCTAGGGGACTCGATGGCATTGATAAAATAATGGCCAATGGCCACTTCCAATGGAAATGCGCTGTGGTAACGATGGAACCGAAAGGTTATACAAATTAGAAGATAGCTGGTAACTTTCGTTATGTCGTCAGCGGGAGGGGGTGAGCCAGGCCGGTCGACCTAGTGTTCTTCCTTCCTTCTTTAGGGGTTGCGAAGCGCTCCAGGCAGGTGCGCCTAGCAGACTTCTTTCACTTGTTGAGTGTTACGTAGGGAGGAACTACCTCCGTTATCGCTGGCCCTTAAGGCTCAACAACCAATAATAATAAAAGTAATTTTCTGTGTATCGGCGGTGCCGGAATTCATATACGAGAGCGATGGCTCTGTCTTTATTGAAACTTTGAAATGAACTGAACTTAAAGCTAACATGAAAAGAGAATCATAGCGGCCACTCCAATGGGTAGTGCTTGCCGGCTATGCACAGGCTTCCGGCCAGACGCTGTGTCAGCAATTTGGCCGGAGCGAACTCTCGGACAGTCGGTCATTGCCGTCGCCCGGTTGACTTAGTTAACTACTCCCCCCTCAGGATTAAGGCCGCCCTCGGCCGACCCTATTTGGGCGATCATATCCGCTATTTGGGCCGTAGCTCTCCTGACCTGGATGACTCGCCGATAGGTAAAACCGACGCAGATCAACGCGCAGCATATTGCTCCTGCTACTAGTACTATCTGGTGTAAATGATAGTCGTTGATATTCTCCCCGACTCTCCTGATGTGTTCCAGATTACGCTCACTCAAGCGGTGAAGGTACGGAAGACTGAGGATGTTGTGTTCCATAGTAATGTTCAGGGAGGGCGAGCTGGCTACTCCTGGGACCCTCTTCTGGGCTCTGTCATTGTTGACATATCGGGTTTCATTAACCATGGCACTCTCAGTAAAGGTAATGAGATGCGTGCCTCGTACATGGATGTAAGTGCCATTATCTACACTCACACGTGCCGGACGATCGTTCACGATTATGATGCCTTCATCCACGTGAGTGACTGGGTGTAGATCGCTGTGCTGGATGTCGCAGTGTGCTATGCCTCCAGCGTGGAGCTCTTGTGCGCACGACCTTCTTGACGCCAGCTGGCAAAATGTTGCTCCAGGTGTTGTGGAGCAATTGTCGACCGTGTGAATCGCTCCATTGCAATCAGCTATTATTCTGTCCTCCAGTCTGAGCATCGTGTCATGATGGGACACGGGAAAAACAGTGATTTTAATACATGATGATTTAATTATTGGAAATTTAATGACAAAATGCAAAAGGTTAGCGGATTGTAATATTTTGACGGAAGCAACGGACAATAAGTTTTTGATGGGGGTATTTGTGGGCTCTTCTATCCATATTTCTTCTAGGTCTGCATGATCTAATATAGTAGGGCTCACAATGTTGGCCTTGGCTAGAGCTATCGCTAGTAATAAATTTTGCAGCTCCATATTAATCATTCTATTTCGGGATAACAACATCTCATAAAGATGCCCCGTGTCGATTTGGGTTCCCTTGGCTGACCTCAGAAGTTGATTGACAGTGTTAGTAATATTATTGATTTGTTCTTGTACTTTACTATTGATATTTATCTGTCTATTGTTTGCATTTATTAGTTGAAATTCATTGAGTTTGATTTTTTCAAAATCCTCTGCGTCTGGCGTTCCTGCCACTACCTTTAACACGGCTCCTAGGAAATCCAAACTCCTAGCTACTCTGTGGTGGATGCTCAACGAGTCGAGCAGGTCACGCAGATGAGCGACATCGACGCTCAAAAGTTTCTGCATGTGTGACTGGGGAAACATGCTGGTCATGCCATCCGTTTCTTCCACCACACGCCTATATTCGGAGAGATTCGCCGAGTGTGTTACGGATGCGAATTCTTCCCAAACTAAAATTCTACCATCAATGATGGGAATATATTTGGCCTGCGAGTAGTCCGAGACATGCCCCGATGTTACGGTAAGCAGGACTAACAGGGATACGATTACGAACCTGTAATATTGGATGTATTGTACTGTTTGTTTAAAATATTGCAGCCCTCCACCAAAGCAAAAAGAAGAAAACACAATTATAACAAAAATTTACACCAAGCGAACGGGGGTGAGAAAATATGGAAAAATTTATGCCAAGTGGCTATGGGTGAAAAAATATGGAAAAAAACTTATGCCAAGTGGCTAGGGGTGAAAAAATATGGAAAAAAACTTATGCCAAGTGGCTAGGTGTAAGCATTAGAAAAAAATGAATTATTATCTAATGTTGTCCTTGTGGACCACCCTCCCCTTAATGAGGACCGTGGTCCCCAGGTCTGCTTCAACAGCTTTCTCCTCACACAGTGGTGTGAGTTTATTGCCAAGCCTTCGGTTTGACTTGACCAAAACTTTTTCGCCGACTTCGAATGTTCTACATTGTCGGGAGGCATTTTCCCTGGCCCTGAGCGAATTTTGTGCCCTAACGATCTTATTCTGGACTTCCGTCTGTGGGTCGTCTGGGTGCTTTTGCACGATATCGACTGGCCGTTTGTCAACGACAGAGTGAATTGATTTATTATATTTGGCGGTTGCCAATAAAATAATTTCCACAGTATCGGTTATCCTATTGTCGATTTTCAGGCAACGAGCAAGCTCCAAGAGGGTGCTGTGAAAGCGCTCTACCTGCCCGTTTGAGACGCTATGAAGTGGTGGGGCATTTGCAATGCTAACACCAAAATGGTTGTTAAGCATGGTTGAGATAGTGTGCGAGTTTAACGAAGGTTCATTATCGCAATAGACTACTCTAGCCCTAGGGAAAAAGTTCATGATTTGGAGAATGGCCGGTTTAAGATCCTCGATTGTCCTAGAATGGACATGTTGTACAACTGCAAACTTCGAAAACTTGTCTATGCAAGTGAGGAAGTATTTCTTGTCTGTGGAAAAGATGTCGATGTGTAGCAGTTCTCCCACATGAGAGGGGATCGGAGTCTCGCCTAGCTCATGCTTCTTTGGGTGCCTATCGTACTTGGCTTTCGCACATGTTTTGCAGTTAGCTACAATTTCGGTGGCTAGCTTGCCCATTTTTGGAAAGTAGTACTCGGAGAGTATCTGCTTAACATTTTCCTGGGCCGATCTGTGGGCCCTGTTGTGTTCGACGGTGAGGATTTCCCGTCTCTCAGGAACTGCAAAAATATCCGTTACGCGGTTTTTGCAATGCCAAAATTTGGTGGCTGGAAACTGCCGAACCAATTCGTCCTGTATCATTGCCAGCGTGTGCAAGTCACAATGAATGGCGTTTACGCCTTTAGGAACGATTACATCTGCGAGTTCATCAAGTAATGACTCCTTGCAGGAAAAGTTAATTGTATGCCGTCTCTTGTTTCCAAAGAGGACGAAGCTGCGTTTTAACGGAAATCGTGCCTCCTCCAGAGTTATCTGGTTCTGGAAGCAATTCAAAGGCTTGTCCGTGGTTTCAATGGTGTAGGTTAGCGACAGCTCACTGTGAATTGTGGCCGCACTAGAAAAAGCCTCTTCCTCTTCCACAACGTTAAGTTGCTGTCTTGAGAGGGCATCCGCAACAAGGTTATCTTTGCCGGGCTTGTAAAAAATTTTAGCGCCGGACTCGTCGATGCGGGCTTTCCACCTCTTGATTTTCGCATTCGGATTGGATTCCGACACTGCGAAGGTCAACGGTTGGTGGTCAGTAAAGATATTTATATCTTTGACTGCATACAAATAGTGGCGTAATTTGGCCAGTGCCGAAACTATAGCTTATAGCTCCCTTTCATTGGTAGCGTAATTAACTTCCCTGTCCTTTAAGGTCCTAGAGATCATTATTATGGGTCTCCCTTCTTGGGATAGCACTGCGCCAATGCCGTACGCTGAGGCATCTGTCGTTAGATCAAATGCCTTCTGGTAGTCGGGGTATCTGAGGATGACATCCTCAGAAGCCAGAATGTTACGCAGTTTTTGGAAAGCCAGCCGTTGGGGCTCGCTGAACTGCACCTGGATGTTCCTGGATCTGTGTCGACTGACACTTCCAAGTTCCCCTTTCAAAAGATCTGTGATGGGCCGAGCTATGGATGCAAAATCTTTTATGAAGCATCTATAATAGCTGGCCAAGCCAAGGAATGATCTGACCTCGAATATGTTCTTAGGCTCTGGGAATTCCTGAATGGCCTTTTATTTTTCTGGGTCTGTGGTAGCCCCGTTATTGGTGACTATAAACCCTAAGAAGCTAACGCTTTTCTTGAAAAATTTTGACTTTTCTGTGGATACCCTCATATTTGCATCGTGTAGGCTCTTGAGAACCCAATCTACGTGCCGGATGTGGGAGTTTTCGTCCTCTGAAAAGACGATAACATCATCAACATAGACATAGCAAAATTTGCCAATCTGCTCTCGCAGTATGTCGTCAATTGTTCTTTGGAAAATGCTTGCCGCATTTTTTAATCCAAATGGCATTCTGCGAAACTCGTACTTTCCCCGTTAACGGAAAACGAAGTCTTTTCACGGTCGCATTCTGCCAGCGTGATCTGATGATAACCGGACTTCAAGTCCAGGGTTGTGAAGTACTTGGCCTTGCCTAAGTTTCCTAATATCATCGAGATGTTC